TCAGCCAGCCAACCACCTATCAAAGTATCCGGTGGAATCAGCCAGCCAGCCAGCAAAATATCCGGCGGAATCAGCCAACCAGCCACCAAAAGTACCCGGCGGCTGGCGGAATCAGCCACATAAAGGGGTCCGTATAAATGCTATGTTGTTATATCTCTTTTCACACCTATAAAGTTCAATGAGACTTCAAAGCTGTGGATTGCTGTACGTGTGTAAAAGTTATCGAGCGGTTGACGGAAAGGGAACTTGAAGTACTATACCTGGTAACTGAATTGTAGTTACCCTGGGTATCTATACCTGCGCCAGCTGAGTAAGAAGGGGGGTTCGCGGGGGTGGCCTGAGAAAGCACACTCGAAAGCAAAAACGCTGGCTTTCGTTTTGCCGCTTCTCAGGTTGTTTATGTTGTTTGCCTTGCTGGCAGGAAGCCTTCCCAGGACGCGTACATGGCTTCACTTTTTGGCCCGAAGGGTTGATCAAGGAGGCATGGTTCCAACCAATCAATCAGTCAATCAACCTTTACGCGCGCAAAAACATCGGCTCAGGTGGAAATTGCTAACAACGCTCTGTCCAATAATGCTGTGCTCCCACAAGAGCTTCGTTCCCATGGAACAACAATCAACAAACAACAACCAACCACCACCAACAACAACAACATGACTTTGCTTTCCCGGCCTCAGAGAGGCATGTTTGCGATGCGCTAGCATGTCGGAAAGCTGCAGTGCAGTTTGCGTGGACAGCGCGCATCAGAGCTCTTTTGACACGTGGCAAACATCAGACAAAATGAGCTTCTAGGATCTGAAGGGTTTAGCCATCAGTGGCATGGCAATGTGGCTAGTTATGTGACCACTATAGTGGATCAATTTGTATTGTTGAACGAAACCCGAAGCCATCACTAGCCTACACTACTTGTGACGCCTCTTACCATTTGGCGCCAATACTTGTTTGGTCCATGTTTCCTTCATTAGCCAACTGTGTGTGCCAAAAGTAAAGAATATGTGAACTTTCAGCTATTTTTGAAAGAACGCATTTCGACCAGATCAGATTCAAACTCGCTTTTCCCGGACCGCCGCCACTCTTTCTGGTTTTAGCGCGGCGTGCGCCAGAACCAGTCACACGCATTTGGGTAGTGCGGTTAGGTCCTCTGAACCTCTAACTGCGGTACACTGAAACTCCACGGCCCGTGGAGCTGGGACTTGTGTAAAGGACCATTCTCACTCAAAATAGACGGGAACTGTGGCCGGCGCCTCGTCTGTACACGCGAAAAGTGACTCAACTGTACGCGCGAATGAGATGCCGGAAGCCACCTATGAAAGTATCCAGCGGAATCAGCCAGCCAGCCACCTATCAAAATCCCGACGGAATCAGCCAGCCACCTATCACAGTATCCGGGAGAATCAGCCAGCCAGCCACCTATCCAAGTGGCCGGCGGAATCTGCCAGCCAGCCAGCCAGCTATCAAAGTATGCGGTGGAATCAGCCAGCCAGCAACCTATCAAAGTAGCCGGCGGAATCAGCCAGCCAGCCACCAAAGTACCCGGCGGAATCAGCCAGCCAGCCAACTAAAAAGTAGCCGGCGGAATCAGCCAGCCAGCCACCAAAGTAACCGGCGGCTGGCGGAATCAGCCCCCAAAGTATCCGGCGACTTGCGGAATCAGCCACCTAAAGTATCCGGCGGCTGGCGGAATCAGCCGCCTAAAGTATCCGGCGGCTGGCGGAATCTGACCCCGAACTTCAGGGTCTATAGTTATTTGTGATTTCCGTGCTTTTTTAGATGGACACGGAGAAGGCCAACCCACCTCAAACAACACTCTAGCAGCTTTGCAGGATTATGATCCAAATCTGCGCAGGAAGCTTCCTGGCAGCTGGCGCTTGCTCAAAACGCGGAGCACTATGGCAGTGCAGTTCCCCGTCGCGCCCCCACCGTTGACTCTTTACGCACTGTGTGTTTGGAGCACCCTCAAAGGTATCCCTTTGTTTGGCCTATCGCTTCGCATTGCATCTTTTGGGCTCCTGCGGGCCAGAGAGCTTTTGAGCATTCCTGCGCGTGACAAACTCGCGGCAACCCGCAGAAACAGATCCCATGTTTAAACACAACAGGTTCGCAATCTACCGCAGCATTGGGTTTTCAGGCCCCTCCTCCACTCTCAGTATGGGTTGGAACGCGGAAGATTAGGCTCATTTTTGAACACGGGCGTTTGTGTTAGCTGGGGCTTCTTTTTCGTGTTCATTTCAGGTTGTGCTTGTTTTTGTTTGCCTTGTTTTTTGTGTTGCTGTTCTTTTTTGTGTTGTTTAATTCCGGATCCTTTTTTGTGTGGTTGTGGTTTGCGTTGTGTTTTTCTTGTGGTTTGTTGTCGTTCTTTTAATTCGCGATGCTTTTTCCGTTCAGTTTATTTGTTTAATCGGTTCAAGTTGTTTTTGGTTTAAATCCTGCTGTTTGTTTCTGCCTGGTTTTTGTTCCTTGTGGCTTTCTTTGTAATTTGCGCTGTTTAGGTGTTGTGGCTCGAACGTTCCCGTCCGTACACTTGTCATTCCCCACCAACGTGTGGGGGGTGCGAACCGAGTGCCACAGCAAGACGGCTGCTCATTTCCAATCCCTCTATAGGTCATTTTCCAGCAAAGCCACGGTTACTGAAGTCACACGCGACTGTGGTCGGAGACTCGGAGAGAGTATCGATTTTCTGGATCCTATAGATCCCAAGCTCGGATGGGAACACATTGAGGTAGCAAAGATCATCACTGGCAAATGTACACAATAGGTGCCGTTCCAAGGTAGCACACCTTTTGTGAGACACACGGTCAAAATCTAGAGGAGGAAGATGCCATTCCAAGATGACAAAGCGTTGAAACCACTTGACTTTGTTTACATTGCGGGGGAGGCGCTGCGCCCTCCCCCGCACCCCCTCCCGCTCATGTTCTATTCAATAAATTTCCATTGAACACCGGAATCTGTTCCACGGTGCGAAAGGACTGTGTTCCAAAATAAGCCGAATCATGTGTTCCAAAATGAGCCTCCTCCCGTATGGGCTTGGGAGCAAAATGTCTGTAGACGATTGTGGGCGTATATAATATATTATATAAATATATATGTCGTGTATGTATATTATTTATAAATACACACCCAATATGCGGTATAGGTGGTTTTCTGCAATTTCACGAATCGAGCCACATAAGGTTTTGGATCTTTTGTGCGCAATTGTTGGGTCCTTGCCTCTTATACGAACTCACCAGCTCGATTGCGGCCAGGAGTGGGCCGTGAGCCTCGAGATGGGCAGTTGGATTGCCTTCGAGCCCGCCATTTCCATCGAGGGCTTGGCCTTCGACGTCTTCGGGAAATCCGAACTGCTGGCGCGTCAGGCCTCATCCACCTTGTGACTTGGCGGATCTTGGTGGTAACGTGTGGGATGAGCTGGGCGTTCGTACTTGGTGGTTGGGAGTGTGGGAGGGCATCAACCATAAGCACCTCAACATCCAAAGACGTCTTGTGGCATATGCATGCAGTACTCAGTATGTGTGCGTTCGGAATGACGCCTTTCAACCCCCCATAAATAGATATCCTCTACTTTAAAATGAGATAGGATGAGGGCCTTGAGGCCCTATATCAATCAGCAGGTCATTTTGTAGAGGCCCGGCCTTGCATTTTGTAGAGGAATGCGTTATATATTGTTTCTAAACGGTGTTTTCTTTAGGATAGACCCCTACCATACCTCCTACCTACATTTTGTAGAAACGGTAATTTCCATGCCCGGCATTTTGTTGAGAGAGTGTTCGATTCGAATTGAAAGTCTCATTTTGTAGAGGTTTGTGGATTCAATCAACAGTGGAGAATGCATTTTGGTGCATTTTGTGGAGATGATTCAGGTGTGGAAGAGGCATTTTGTAGAGTTGTTGTTGCGCGATACATTTTGTAGAGAGTAGAGATCTTCAGTCGCGTGTGGATGCAGTATTTTGTAGAGAAGGCATTTCAAAAAAATGATATATATATATAGAGAGAGAGAGCATGTTGTAGTAAATTTTGGGTGATTTGGGTCGAGTCTTCCACAGCATTTTGTAGAGAAAATTCTGGTAAGCATGTTGTAGTGATTTTGATAGATTTTGTCTTATTTTGTGATATTTTGTTGCTATTTCAATCTATTTGATTCTATTTGACTGTGGAAAAGCATGCTCCAACCCCAATTGCAATGGCCTCCAGCCTGGAAGCAATGCCAGGTCATTTTGTAGAGTTTTGAGATTCATTCGACCCAAAAGGACTAGGGCCATTTTGTAGACAAGATTTTATTTCATTTCAACTTCATTTTGTAGAGCGTCAAATCTTTTTGACAAGCAAATTGTAGAGTCATTTTGGTACAGCAGGTGTCATGCTGTAGACAAGTTTCATCAAAGCTGTCTACGAAAATGACGTCGAGGCCCATCATTTTACAAAGAGGGTGTGCCCTCATTTTGGTGGTCATTTTGTAGAGGGTGTCATTTTGTAGGGGCTCGACGCGATGTTTTTTACAAAATGAGGATCCCCACCCCCCCCCTTTATTTTAACGGGGATACATTTCATACATGTGTTATATGACTGTGTTTATAGTTATTTTAAAATACTGCAAGAGTGCTAGAAGAGGAAACCCCACCTGTTCACAATGTTCTGACTCACTGGTCTGTCAGAAGCATGAGGAGAGTTGCTTCCCAACTGCTTCCGCGTTCCCGCAGTGCTTGTGAGGCTAGAAATCATGTGTAGCGCATATCTCACTAACACGGGCCAAGATCCAGCGGAAACCCACTCAAAAAGGAAAATGCGTCGAAGATGATCCATCTTGGAGGCGTTTCTTGGTAAGTAATGTAGAATCTTGATAAGTAACCCCACACGGGTTCATTTAGGAGGTTTCATGGATTCTTGGGATGCAAACTGTGGCACTGATTGTTTACCTTCTGTGGGGTTACCAACGCTGGGAGGTGTTAGCGAGAGAGAGATAGAGACAGAGCCCGAAAGTCTTCCATTGCAAACCGTTTGTTTATATATGTAGTTTCGTGGACGTACTTGTTCCGGCACTTAGTAGTGCGCATGTAACGACAAAAGAGTTTCTTTGTGCAGACAAGTTAGGTATGCAGGTATGCGTGTCATTGTGAAACTAGAACACTGCAACTAAACCATGGCTCCCTTATTCTTTAACCGTGGCATCTGTAGGACTGAGTGAGATTGACGCCAACTGCACCTGTCAAGCATTGCTCAGGTTAGCCGTGTTCACCTTCGCATGTGCCTTAGGGGTGACGATCGGTGGTTTCATCTATGATTTGGCCGGTTGGCGGGGCATGTCCGTGTTCCATGTGGTGTGCCAATCCTCGATGGTCTTCCTCTTTGCTACCCAACCTTCAACTTTGATCTCTTTCCGCGAGTTCTTCCACCGGTCCGACCCGCTGGTGGACGACTCTGATGACTCCGGACTCCACACCGTCGTGCCCGCGACTCCTGCGAATCCTGCCACCAGCGCGGCGGGTCCCGCGGTGCGCGGGACGCCGCCTGCCTCGCACCGTGAAGATCTGGTCGTGGAAGAGGTCGCAGACTCTGTTCCGGAACTCCCTGGGACGGTGGACGAGGCGAGTGGCGTTGCCTCGGGCGAGGTCGGCGCGGTCTGCTCTGGTATGCGGCAGAGTGCCGTGAGTTGTGTGAGCCAGAACAGCCACCGAAGCACTGTGGAGCGACGGAGTTGGCGTGGGCCGCCCTTTGGCTGGTGGAAAGGGGGGGAATGAGAAAGAACATGCCAGGAGCATGAAACTGCAAGTGCCGAAACATGAATGGAGTTTCCAAAAGACAAAACAACATTGACATGACATCATAAACATGGACTCAATGGCACAGTTAGGCCTGTTTTGGACCACTCATCTCATTTTGTTCGCCGCTCCAAACGAACACATGGTTTCGCGCAACACCAGTTGTTTGAGGACCATGGTTTTCCCAGGGGCTATGCCATCCACTTCCATGTGATGTGTTCGGAGGATGGTCCGGTGATGGTCACCTCAGAGCGAAGACGTCACACCAGCTACTTCTGAACGCTGGGCCCGACCTGTATAGGTGTTCTGACCATCCCGGGCCCGACGGTGGGCTCCATTCGACGTGCTCAGAAAGAGCACGTCGCCGACGAACCGCTGAGGCATTTACGTCATTCCGTCACCTCAGCGGCATCGCGCCTCACCAAGCAGACGATGAAGTCCCACAAGAGTTTCCACACCGTGAACACCAAAGGCAGCAAGGGCACACAAGGCGCTTTGCACGTGGGTCTTTTTGGAATTTGGCGGATGGACCCGCATGTGGCGCCGTATAAGGTAATAATTAGACTGTTGATGAAGGGAACCCCCTAATTACCAGAAATTACCACAGTCTTGACTGAGTCTTTTGTTCGTCCCTGTTTCAGCGAGAAACGGAAACGGCTGAAAACGCCTGAGATCGCTGGTTTCATTGTGCGAGACGCAGTGGGTATAACGTGTTGTGTGTTTTAAGAGTTTCACCTGGGAAGACCTGGGCACGAGTTGCCCTTCCCTTCATGTCATGTGCAAGCTACCCAACAGCGCCCTTACCGTAGACCCGGACCATGGTGCGAAAACTCGCAAAAAAACGACTCCAGTTTGAGGCGCAGTTCGTCTTTGAGTCTGAGTCTTTGACCGACCTTCCGAGGCACCTTCCTGTCAAAGGTGACAGGTGTGACCAACTTGAAAGATTCGGAGAACTTGGAGCATACCTTTCTGGCCAATAATGCTCTTCGACCCACGGTTCAGACAACACGAGCCGGAGAGCCGAGAGACTCATCTGGAAGCCATGCATTTCCTTTAAGGTTGTTTCAGTGTTTTTCTTATGATTTCCGAGTTGAACGGAAAGTCTTCAAAGATTTATATATATATATAAGGAAGCAAGGCCGGTTCTTTTTTTGGGGAATGATGATGAGTTGGCAAGCTGTGACTTTCCGCTTGGGCGTTTGAACGAGTGAGGAGGAGATGAGGCTGAAGATAAGAAGACCAAAGGCATCCCTAAGGATTTGCGAATTCCTGCTCTACTGATTGTGATGTGCCTCACTGGCATATGGATGCGCTGCAAAAAAATTGCCTTAGGGCCCCAACATGCTCCAACCGCATCCTGCGAAGGTAGTTAGACCATCCCCATAGGGTTGTTTCCATACACCAGCGAAGAGTCGCGCCCTGAGGAGACAGTGCACTAGTAAAAGCCGACCGAGATTCACCTCAATGGCCTGTCCCCAAAACTCAGCATGATTGAACATCCATCCATGTGCAAAACCTGACTGGTTATATAATTGAAAACATTTAAATACATGGTTTTGCTGCATTGCTCGTCAGGGTACTGGTGTTTGCGGTTGGTTGGGGTATGCAGGAACACCTAGCATGCCTTTATCATATACCTGGTTTAAGTTGGAGTTTGCTTGCTGCATGTTAGGAGCCCGGCTTCTCCCTGATTAGGTTAAGCTGCGCCACAGGTTTTGCCTGGCAGAATCTTGCACGGTTGGCTTGTCCCTGCATCGGTGGCGCGCCTGCTGGATAGGACCGGTGAGATTTGATATTCATTGGTGTCATTGTCCCGCATAGGACGGAGCCCCCCTTTTTCGCGAATGTGTTGCAGCAAAGGCTCTAAGGTGGACCTTCGTTCCACTGACCGCGGTGGACCGCCAAGGCTGCATTCGTTTGGCGGCAACCAACGCCGCGGTTCCCAGCACCCGGAAGCCCAAAAAAGGAAACAATCTGATCACGATCCATTTGGCTGTGCACAACCTTTTGTGCATGGGGGTTAAGGAGTGCCTTGCGTCTCTTGAGAGGCCCCGAAAACTGCACCAACTTGTAGGAATGAAACGGTTTTTCTTCACGAGCGAACAACATCAACATGCTTTCTTTGTCATAGGTCTGTGTCAAGAAAAAATAGCAGGTTTGTCGTTTTTTTTGAAATAATGAGTGGACTCGAAGAAAATCCAGTCCAGTCAAGGACAACATCGTGCATGCATCATCCAACGCACAGCGCGTCTCGCATGCTCGCACATCGTGCAACGCGGAACAGTGTGTGGAATGCTCGGCTCGCAGCTATACCTTGCCCAAACTCGTCCCCGATCTTCAGTCACAAAACTCAATGCTGAAGGAATTGGACATACCGGTCCCATTGATTCAATAGCCTTCACCAAACAATGTTTTTTTACTGAGGACATTGCGTCGCACCCAGGTCAACCTTTTTAATGATCCTGGAAGATTATGGTGAAGTGGCGTTCCATGATGTTTCGTGGCATCGTTTTTGGGAGTTTGTGCTGAAACCTGGGTCCCATCCCGCCGAATGGGTCACAGAATTCATCACCGAATCAGTCAGTGGCCACATGAGGTGCTGCTTGAACAACAACCTCAGCTACGTCTTAGAGTTCAGCACCTTCGCCATTTTTTTCAAAGAGTACCATGGCTGGAACTCGGCCCTGTGGGCCAGTTTGGCCCAGTCCGCAGGAGACTTGACAGCGGCTATCATGATGAAACTTCTGGGTGCTGCTACGGATGATGATGAAGAAGCGGGAATCCTGCGGCGTTTGACCAAGCAACCCTACAGCTTGTCTTGCCTCCTCTTTATATGGCTCCTTTGCAACTTGGGCATGACCAGCCCTTGGTTGCCATTGGCAGTGACGGCGCAGGTGATCATGGGGACCGTGTACGTCTACACTTCCAAGCTCACGACTGACCTGAATCTCTTCTACTCCCTCGGTGATCAGTCCCTCTTCCTCCACCTTCAGGTGCATCGGATTGTTTATGGAAGTGGTGCAGGCCAAGTTTGTAGCCTGTGGACACTGCTCCGCTAAATCAAGTCTCGTGGAGGGAGTGTTCAAGAGACGCTATATAGTTTGTTTTTTTGGTTTTGTGTGTGTCAACGCCTGTTTCCAAGGATTTTCACTTTCCCTTTACGACTATTTCAATCTTTGTGCTTTTAGACCTCACAACACTCTACTTCATAGCAGCAGGGGCACTGAGCACTCCTTGGCAAACTCAGTGCAACGAAGCTATGCCTTGGAGTGGGAAGCACGGATTGATCACCCTGCGACAATTTTTAAAGCAGACTCTTCACGTTTGACCCTTGTTCAAACCTTCTGTTCATCCGACCCAGCACTTCATGCCGTTTTGCAAGTCAAGGTCTACAATGCATCGGGTAATGTAATCGTCTACAGTGGGACTTCATACTGATACTAGCTCTTGCGAGCAACAATCTAAGTGTGTTTTCGCCACAGGGTCCCACTGAGGGCTGTGGTGTGATCCCCGCCAAGGGGCGCCGCGTGTGCACAGACCCAGATCCTGGGGGGTTCCTTCTGAATATTCCGTTCTGCAATCCTGGACTTCTCTTGATTCTCCGTGATCGGCGGTACTGCACGATACCACTGATTTTATGCCGCAGGGCTCACTGAGATCAACTCCAGTTTGGAATTTCTCACACATTCATGTACATGTCATGTTCACTTCGCTAATTAATCAAGGCAGGATGCACGCATGACCATGTCGCACTTTCTTGCTGTCTTGTACGATCCTGATCCATTTCCACCGGGACGCCATGAACTACCAGTGGCTTTCTCAAGCTTCCCCGATGACGAGCTCAACCGCACCCTACGGTTCTCTCAGCCCTTCACCATTGACGGCACCCTCGACTCCTTATGGACCGATGCCAACAATGCAAGTTCCTGTACCTCAACTTCAACCACCTCTGCACCATTCACCTCTTCACTACACATCGACTTTGACACCTACCGGCCTGCCACCTCAGCTGGGATCCATGCCTACCGCACAACTGATTCAGCCTCCACCTACACTCCACACCATTCCTACGTTCACCCCGGTACATCCCATCTAACAGCCCGACACCAGTTCCACGTGGAGCTTACCAGCTATGTTGGTCCCCACAATCTCACTCACCTGTTTGGCCACCAACATTTTCCCCCCAGACAGTTCCACCCACTGTTTCCCCCCTGGAGCAACTTCAGCCAATACCAATTCACCCCGTCACCCCTCCCACCAACCCTGCTTCCACGGCAACAACCCCCACAACCGTTGCTCCTGCCACATCGCCACCGACTACTTCCACACCACCACTCACCAACCCACACACACGTCTCTGGACGCCGTCTCTGCCCCCACCGTGCCTGTTGCCACTCCCAACCCTCCCCCAACCAGCAGCCCCAACCTCTCGCCCACCACCTATCAATATCACTGTTCCAACTCCACATCCCCCTCCACCGCCGGTCTCCACTGCGGCACAATCCCAAGGCCCCTTTCCGCCAACGGCCTACTACCACCGCCAAGAACCCAGCGATCCAACCCCCAGCCTCAGGTGCACCTCAATGGCCAGTCACCAAACCCCAACCACCACAACACCAGGACTCGTTCCCGCTCCCCGCGTCGTCAGCCACTTCGATTCACTCCCAACCCCCAGCACGTTGACATTTCGGCATCCACCTCAGTCTCAGACTCTACCAATACTCCACGTAGCAAAGGCATCCACGTCGCCACCACTACGAGAGCTGACCCCATTGATCCACTCCGACGACCTCCAATCCACACACCGAAACAGAAAGAGATTTTGAAAGACCTATGACACCAACACGTTCCAACGGATCCTTCATTTCCTGCACCACCAATGTGATCAACTCAACCCCTCCAACTCCCCCATGCTTGAGTATGTGGCCAAAGTTCTCACCAATGCGGGCATCAAAGCCAAGGACCTCCACGATCTCCAGGAATGGACCCATTCCAACTGGAAGGAACTCTTCGGATGCAGTGCCTCGTTGGATGTCAACAGGTCCACGGGCACGTGGATGGTAGAGGTACGAGGGACCAGGCCCGGAATATAGACACCTGAAATGGTCGGCGAGTGAAGTCTTGAAGTCCTTCCCAAACACGTAGGTCCGGCATCGGGGGCTGCTTGTTGGGAGCGATCGCGGATGCATTGGGAAAGTCTACCGCTACGTGGACAACCGCTTCATAGCCTTCAACCGGACATTCCTCAAACACATCGCCATCCAAACCCTCATCCACCCGGACTTCTATGGCAACCCAGTGGAGCTTGAACCAGTAGACGATATGCACCTACTGGGCTTTGATGTGGATCTTCATCAACGGACTATCACCTACATTCCACCTGATGCTCCATGGAAAATTCGTCATTTCAGCTGGCTCTACACGCCTACGACTCTCAGGTTTTCACTCCAGAGCTATCGAGCGAGCGCTCGCTCAACTAGCCGACTTGTACGTCCAAAAAGGACATGATCTTCACAGCTGTCGCCAAGCACTACGAAAAAGCTGGCGCTCCGAGCTCCCTCCCCCCAAGGGTTTCCTTCACCCTCCCCTAAAGAGAGTGCGCCGATTACGGCCCTCTGTGTGTGTGTCAACGCCTGTTTCCAAGGATTTTCACTTTCCCTTTACGACTATTTCAATCTTTGTGCGTTTAGACTTCACAACACTCTACTTCATGGCAGCAGGGGCACTGAGCACTCCTTGGCAAACTCAATGCAACGAAGTTATGCCTTGGAGTGGGAAGCACGGATTGATCACCCGTGTGTACCTGCGACAATTTTTTGGCAGACTCTTCACGTTTGACCCTTGTTCAAACCTTCGGTTCATCCGACCCAGCACTTCATGCCGTTTTGCAAGTCAAGGTCTACAATGCATCGGGTAATGTAATCGTCTACAGTGGGACTTCATACTGATACTAGCTCTTGCGAGCAACAATCTAAGTGTTCAATCTGGAAAGATTTGAGGAAGCCCCGTGGTCGCCTGTAAAATTGAATTTGGTTTGAAATCCCTTTGTGTTATGATATGTTATGATGTTTATGTGCTTCATGGTTTGCAATTCATATACAGGCGTTGCCTATGTTATGTTGCGCATTGTTTCACACAAAGCATGCACTGGGGTTCCATGTGTTTCCCTTTAGTACACGGATATATAGTATATATATATATATCTTTTTTGTATGTCAGAGTCAGAGTTTTTTCAGCATCGGAGGATGTCAGTTCGGGAAATGGACTAATCAAGTGTTCAAGAGTAAATATATCATTTCCATGCGACTGCAGCCCTGCCACCTTTGAACGGCACGCCCAACCCTTCGCTTGTGATCAACCTATGCTGGATCGCCAGGTTTGGTGCAAGAATTTGGAAGCTCTTGGAGGCTGTGCAGCTAGCTTCCTGGGCCCCTTCCTCTTCGAAACGGTCTCGCCCTTCTTCCCCTTCTTCGTGAGCGCTACCTTTTCGCTGGTGACTCGGTGTTTGCATCCGCATCCGCCACGCCGCAATGCGATGCGGCCAGGTGGCACGTTCCAAACATGAAGACTTGAAGTTAGCTATGTAAAAAATCTTGCCGTTATTGGACCTGATCATGTGACGTTTGGGCTGGACTTCGGGGACGTTTGATCTTCCGTGTGTTTCGCTCCGGAGTGGCCGGGTGAAGTGGTTTCAGAGGGGGTTGCTCCACAAAAGCCATTGACCACGCTATATGTTTGACGTCATACGCAGCACGTACGATCCGGCAACAAGGTCATCTGCAAGAATGCCATGACCATGGCTGGTTTTTCCCCGCAGCTATAGATGATGCAAATCGTTTCAATTCCTTCATGAACTGCAGGTTTTTACCTTGGTCCGCTTTCCTTTTCAAGTGACTCCAGGTGACCTTCATCCTCTTCACCTCGGGTTTCTGCCAGCGCTTGGGCTTCCCACCGGATGTCGAGGCGGCTGAGGCGCAGCGTTCGCGGCGCTTGGGCTTGCGGCGCGTGAGCCACTGGAGCGTGGTCAGCCGGAAGAGCCATGTGGAAGCTCGGTGTGGAGGGACGGGGGTATGGCATCAAAGCTACGTGAGGGAGGCCAGAAACACAGCTTGGTGGTGAAGCCCAACAAACCACGCCAATTTTTGTGGGATCCAGGTCGGTTCAGAAACACCGGGCCAGAGGCTTCGTTGCAGGCCCCTTGTGGGTGGTTGGATGGGAGCCCAGAAGAACGGAAGAGCCTGGAAAAAGCCATGCGGAAAGCTCCGTCGGTGGAATGGATCTGGGATTGATTGGGTCTCCTCCAACGCATCACGGAAGAGGCATGGCGGGTCCTCCGCCCCCTTTTCGCGATTGAAAGGGAAACCGCCAGCGGTTGAAGGCAGCCAAAAAAAAAAACACCTCCCGGGCCTGCTCGTTGGCAGATGTCGGCAGTGAGCGAAAAGAAAGAACCTTGGATGTCGATTTGTCCTTCACGTCATTCAGTGGTGGTTGACGTGGAAACCCCCGCTGAATCTCTATATACTTCAAGAACCCTAAAGTTTACGCTTCTTACTCTGTTCCAACATGACACTTGCGGTCTACAGCGGATCGGATTAACACGTCCATTTTTTGCGTGGCAGGTACAGCACGGTCAGATTTCCACACCCCAGGTGTGGAAATCTGACTGCAACTGAGGTGTCGACATGTTGCACGTAGGATTCTAAGGGGAAAGGGTTTGTGATGTTTTAGAAGTCAAGAAGCGCAACTTTTGGCACCCCAGTGTATGTGAGACGTGTTCGTCCTAGTGTTCCTCCGCTCCATTGTGGTGCCCAGCCAGACATGCATCCGTGCGAGCTCGAAGACCATGGACGTTGGGGTGCGAGCTCGAACACCCAGCAAGTTGGGGTGACGATGTTTGGCACAACCAGACGCATTAGACTCTAGACTTCGTCAGTCAGGTGTTGGAGTCAGATGGTTGGACGCTGGGAGATGCGTATACGGAGATCCGTGGTTCGGTGGTTCCATCCCTCAGGTCCCACTTTCTGGTCGGCGCAGGGGGTCTGTTCATTCAGAGCTTACCCTCTGACGAACACATCACATGGAAGTGAAAAATGGTCACTTGGAAGACTACTTTCCTCTACCAACAGGGCATCTTCCACTTCCATGTTAGTGAGTGAGAATGGGACCCATTTGCGCTCCAGGCACTCAGTCACCTCGTGGCAAGCCACATTCCACGGTCACATGGCGCACGGTGGAACCTCCCAGCCTCAGGTGCCGGAAGAGGCGACCTGAAAGATGCAGGTCACTAGGCCACGGAGGGCATTTGGGTCACAAGGATGGGTCAAAGATGCCCTAGTTGAGCTTGGGATGCCCCTGTAGGATAAAACATTATAAAACCTTTCTTTAGCCACTAGGCATGAGAGCTTGGGATAAGTTAAGGATTGGTCAAATTCATTCGTTGCTCCCCCTTAAACACCAGGCATGTGTGCAAACGTCTGATTTGTCGTGTGCTTTTCATTCCCAGTTTGGTGAGGAGTTGTGTCAGAAATCAGAACCGCTACTGTACACAAAAGTCTAGGATACCTTGACCTTGATGTTCCATGATGTTCCTGATTTGGAAGGCAGTTTGTCTATCCAAACCAGTGGTTTGCAGGGTGCTTGCCTCCAGTTGGGTCATTCCTTTTGGGGAGTGCAATCGCTGAAGGAAGTGGGGCAACCGAACCAGTTCGACCACACGCAACCTGACGGCACACCCCCGTGCTGCGGAAGAAAGCGCAGCATATGGCGGTGCGAAAGGAGGAGCAGCATAGAAAAGATTGGACACATTCCGCGAAGCAGAGCAGATGTGGCACTTTAAAAAAGTCATTTTGGATTTTGGATACTGTTTGCTGGGTTGTGGGCTCTTCAAGAGCTGCCCGCTTTCGTTCAGTAAAATGCTGAACACTCACTTGGCTGATTCGGTCAGTGTTTGGCCGGTGACCGGAATAAGGTGATTTGGCCGTGTTTGTTCATGTCGTATGCATAGGTTGGGATGCTCGGATGCAAGCTTCTTAATTTGGCTAGATATTCGATGCCCGTCAGTGGCCTACTTGGCCTACTTCCCCTCTAAACTTTTTGGATTGGCTCTCTCAAAATGAAACAGCCAAGCAGTCCTGACATCTGAGAGGCCAACAACACCACTGACGGCTGATGGCATGAAGACGACGTCGTCCATTTGTGTGGCCGAGCCGGTGTTTGGTTCAAGTGGTTTTGATGCGCGCGGCAGGACTGCCATTTTTGCCACCCTTGATCTATGTCAATCTAATCAAAACAGATCTGAGCAGGTTACCAGTGAAATCTCGCAAACCCTTTATCGCCACGTACCTTCTAAGAACGTGTCGAGGGTCCGAATATCTTCTGAGGAGGTACTTGGAGCCCGCCTGGCGGGGAAACAAAAAGGAAAGTCGCAGATGTTGGAACTTGGCAAGGCAAGATGTATTGACATGTATTGACCTCGTTGATGTTTTTGACCAACGCAGAACATCCGGTGAACACTCCGCAGAATCATCCGCCGGATGCGATGGAGAACCTGGACATTGATGGCCTGGATGAATTTGACGATGAGGTCCGGAAACGCCAAAGCGAGACTACCTCAGGTCGAAAAAAAACACCTACTACTACTACTATTCGTACTACAGATTAACGGAGACGTATTGAGGATTGTCAAGTATTGACTATATGACCAGCTGCATCAAATTGATCTACAATTGGTCGCATCAAGCAACACTCGAACTTCCTGGTAAACCTTTGGTCATGGCACAGGCTCTCCCAAAGATTGACGATCGCTTGCTAACCGGTGGCCCGCGTCGTTGGATGGGGTCTGATAGACCTGGTCTTGCTTCGGGTGATGTTTGTAATTTGTGTGTATATGTATAAATATGATTGGTTGTTATAGATTGATATTGTATATGTGTTCTCTCAAGGGGATAGCATGCCTGATGTGCGGGTTCCACCGGAGCTTTTCAAAGTCAGAGCTGCCTGCCTCTCCCACCAGACCCCACCCTGGGGAAGGTGGGAAGAGGTCAGGTGGTTTTACGCGTGGGTGAAAGCGGTTTGGCACCATCACTTGCCCTCAGCACTCCTCGTGGAGTGAGGGGGTGAGTAGTGGCCAAGTCTGGCCTCTGGAAGCCCTAGGCTCCCTTGTGAGAGTGAGGGAAACCAGAGGCCACTGCCACTTGTTCAGGTTACGGAGAGCTCCACCTCTCCTCGTGGGAGGCGGTCCTGAGGACCCTGTCCCTCCTAGGCAGGAGCCTGGAGGACCTGGGAGGGAGAGGATGGAGAACCAAAAGTTGAGGGCTTTCAAGAAAGGAGGGACGTTGGAAGATTGGAATGATCTGTTGCAGGGTGGCCTTCTGCCCCATCATATGACTTGGGTCAATGGAAAAGATCATGATGATGTGTTGGCCTATGCCGAATCGGTTCTGGGCAAGGGCTGTGTGATGTGGAGTATGAATGTTATAATTGGAATGGACGAGCCCAGGGCAAAGCTTGTTTGCCAGTTGAGGATTGGAGTGACGCTGGTCGACGATTTCTGGTGGGAGACCATCTGATCGCAAGTGACGGTTACTATGAATGGTATGGACAAACGTACTTGAAGGACGGAAAGGGTCTCTATCATTTTTGCAGCGCAGACCGGACGAAGTGTAAGGAGAAACTCCCTCGTGGTGATGGGCGAGAGTTAGTACATATCAGTCGATGGAGGCTGGCAAGCATTCTGATGATGCATGATATGGAGTATGCAAGGAAGAAAGCCATGGAAGGTATCGTTAGTCTTGTTGATGGATGGACGCCCGTGTGCCGGAACCAGCAGGAGCACCGCCCACGAAGGAAAAGCCTTGAGGCTTTGGATGATCCGACTGGTCTGGACAGGGCTGTGGAGAAAGCCAAGAAAGCAAGAGAAGAAAGGAGAAGCCAAAGCTGAAGCAGGGCGTGGACCGAAGGGATCCGTCGGGGCTCTATTGGAACGAAAGGCAGCGGAGCGTCAGGAACAGCAAAGAAAAAAGGAGGAGGAAAAGAAACGGGAGAGTCGTGGCCGAAGTCGAAGCCGCAAGAGACGCAGGGTGAGAAAGAAAAAGATTAATTCTTCGAGTGAGAGGAGGAGTGATTCGGATAGAAGTGGGTCTTCAGAGTCGCACAAGGTTTTCGACAGCCCTTTACCTGGGCGGAGGACGAACTGTGGCGGCCCTCAGTCAAGCCGAAGGAGGCGCCGGAGAAGAAAGTTGGTCGAAGTACAAGATGATGGCGTACGTGAATTAGGTGGTACTGCTTCAGCGGCCATCGGGGTAAGAAGTCACAAAGAACTGATTACCCTCGGGACAGCCATCGACATGCTGATCATGGGGGAGCTCTCAGAGTTGGGGGATCTCCTGATGCAGCGAGACCAGTCTGGTCGACAGCAACTGGATGACAGCTCGACACCAGGAGTTGATACCGCCGCAGGCCGCCAGCTTGACCTCAGAGAGCGGGCGGAGAAGGGCAGCAAAGCAAGAAGCCACCAGCTTGAAGTTGAAGGAGCTGATGAAAAAGAATCGGACCAGCAAATAGCAAACAGGCGGTGGGAAGCTGGAGACAAAGTTTCCCGTGACGCCACCTCGAGGAGCAAAGGAGCAGTCAAAGGGCCCAGACAGGGTGCGTCAGGTAGAGTCGACGAGCATCCAAAAGAGAAAGCCCCAGAGAGAGACGGAGGAGAACAAAGGAGGGTGGTCCTCCGCGAAGCAGAGGAGGTCCGCTGGCAGGATTGGAAGCAAGCGAAAGTGAGAGTGAGTCCAGTGAAGAAAGGCCAAAAGCCATTTCACCGAAGCCCCATCCCGATGAGCGAAGGAGATGGGAAAGCTTGATGAGTGCTTCAGAAGATGGGAGAAGATTGCGGCAGAGCTGTAACGAGGTCTGGTGAAGACGGTGGAGGCCCCTGTGCAGGTTCCTGGTGAATGGGAGCTTTGGAGTGGTGAAGCCACGCAGGTATCTTGATGACGAACGACCGATCTTGAGATTGATCATGGACTTTCGAGGAACAAATGCTGCGACTCGAGTGCCGGAGGGAGATGTCAGGAGTCTGACTGGAGCGCCAGCACTGCAGCATCTAGTACTCCCAGCGGGCAAGGTGTTAAGGATGAGTGCGGATGACCTGGTATCAGCATTCTATCTGTTCGCTCTACCACCAGATTGGCCCGAGATGATGACCTTTTCTGAGAAGGTAAGGTGGCGCAGTCTGCGAGTTGACCGAGAGGGACATACATAGGAGCAGCAGTCCTGCCCATGGGATGGGCATCAGTGCTACAACATGCCCACAGAAGGTTGGCGCTGAGATCACCACTACAAGGCGGCGGAGGCCTCCTGCAGAAAATGTGAGATCCGGCGAGACAGTGTGTTTCCCACTTGGAGGAGGAAGACAAGCTGTGGTCCTTGTATTTGGATGACAAGCCTGAGGACCTAGAGCGGAAGACCTCAGCAGAGCAGGAAGCCCTGAGACGAGCTTATGCCCATGTACTCGAAGGAGAAGAGCTTGCAGCGAGCGCGAAGGGCTGAGAAGCTGGGGGCTGTAGTGGATGGTGACAGAGGCACCCTGAAAGGATCAACGAAGAGAGCCCTGGATAGCTTGTCTTTGAGTTTCTGACTGCTGCGTCAAGAGCAGGTGCGTCGGAAGGGGCTGCAGGTGTTCCTGGGACAAGAAGTGCACACGCTCCAATTTTGCAGGCCTCTTTTTCCAATGTTTGACTACGTCTGGAATCTGGAAGGACATCTCAGACAGGAGGTGCTTGTCCGACTTGGTGGAAAATCCGTTGAGGAGATCCTGATGGCCGGATGTAGTCAGCCCTTGGGAGTGACGGACATGAGAGCCAAGCTGCATGAAGTCGTGACTGCCTCAGATGCAAGTGAGACTGGCGGTGGTTCAGTGTATGGGTCAAAACTGACTTCTCGGCTCCGGGAAATGCGCGCGCTGGAGGAGGAAGAGGATGAACCGCAGAGTGCGCTGGTCTTCGAATCGGAGGGCTGAGCCGTGCACTTGAGCTGGCCGGGCAGAAAGTCGATCACCTCGTGATGATTGAAAAGGACCCGGAATGCAGGCGGCTGAACAGGACTAGGTGGCTGGATGTGATGTGGTGGCTGACATCACCAAAGTGACAATTTAAAAGGTGACATTGAAAAGTACATGAGGAGTATATCGGGGGTGACCGGTGTGATTGTTGGAGGAGGATCCCCATGCCAGGGGATCTCAAAGCTCAATGCGGACAGGATTCACCTGCAGGAACCCCCTCGAGGTTGTTTTACAAGCACGTCGAATCGAAGATGTGGCAAGAGAGATGAGGGTATGGTGGAGAATGTGGTCGGAGATGAGGAAGATATATAAAGGAGATGAGCCAACAACTGGGGTGCCGTCCAGTGTGTGTCTGCTCGAGTTGCCTGTCGTGGGTCCGACAACCACCATGAACTTTATGATGTGCTCGAGTTCAATCAGGAGTTGGAGCCACTAAGTTTGGTGCGTGTGATGAGGGATGGATATGGCCCGCAGCGGAGGTGAACAAGAATATCCGGTTGCCCACCTTCACAAGGGCTATCCCCAGCAAGAATCCGCCGAGGGAGCCGGCTGGACTAGAAAGCTGCAACACCAGTACAGTTGAGAGGTGGAGGGATGATGAGATGAAGTTTCCGCCTATCGGCCGGAGTTCCTCTTCCACAACGCCAAAGGGGATGATGTAAAGCGAGTGGCATCGGTGACAGAGAGAGAGAGGCTGATAGGATACCCCACGGGGTATACCTTGGGGCTGTTCAGAAAGGAGGCGGAGACAGGAGAACAAAAGAAGAAGCAGACGGTGGCGCGTGAGGCCGCTATCGGAAACAGCTTCCACACGGTGATAGTGGCGTGTTTGCTGGGTTTGTGGCTCTGGAAGAAGCAGGCCCGGACAGCAAAAGTAATTGTCGAAAAATGGCATGAGGAGATGACATCGGTGAGAAGGATGATGCACCCACTCACGTCAGTCAGTATGAGTGAGAGAGACAAAGAGGGGGAGGCAGCTTTGGTTCAGGTGATGAGGAATCCAAAGAGGGGAGCAGTGGCTCCGATTGGCCGGACACAGCTTTGGGAAAGATGGCGGAGCCCGGTTGCTGAACGCGAGGTTGATCCACCAGTGCCTACGTCGGATGGAATTTCGTGGAAGTGACGTACGTCTTGATCTGCAAGTGGTGTACCGGCCTGATGCAGTGGTGCGCGCGACAGTGGGCCCAGGCAGGTGGGTCTGGAAGACTGGACAAGGCCAGAAGTGGCGCCGCGAAGAGCACATTAACCTGCTGGAGCTGAGGGCGATCCGGAGGAGCCTGGAATGGCGCGCCCGATCGGCTTCCCTCCACTTGTTCCTCCACTTGTCGGATTCCCAGATCTGCTTGGCTGTCTTGACGAAAGGAAGATCCATGTTGCGAAAAATCTCAGCCTTGTGCGTTCCCTTTATGGACTTGGATCGCATCTCGCTTGAACCCGGCGGATGGTCCACGCAGGCTGTTTGAAATGGATGCCAAGAAGAGAGATTATGAGAAGGGCTACAAAGGAAGACCCTGCAAGGCTGAGAGAAGAAAAGTGGGAAAGTTGGCAGAACAAAGAGTTTCACAGGCGACGGCAGAACGCTGTGCGGTCGCTTTGCGTGAATTGAATTTCTTTTGTTGGGAGCAACGTGGCAGATGTGCTGGGCCGAAAAGACTTGGAATCAGTGCTCTGCCAATACATTGAATTCCTGTGGGAGGAAGGAGATCCAAAGACTATGGCAAACTATGTGGTGGCCGCTGTCCAATACAGAAGACCTGAGCTCAAAGGAGCTTTGAAAGGAGCGTGGCAGCTAGCTTCTTTGTGGAACAAGCTAGAACAACCAGCGCTACTCCACTAGGCCCTGAATTGGTGCTGGCCTTTGCCGGAACGTTGTGGAAATGGCAGTGGCCTCGTTTGGCACAGCTGACGATGGTGGCCTTTTGTGGCCTCCTTCGGACAGGCGAAATGTTTCAGCTCCACCGAAAAGATGTCGTTTTGCCAAGAAAGGAAGATCAGTCGCAATCCTCTTTTTGCATGACACCAAAACTGCACAACGAAACTTTCTGACGAATGAAAAAGTCCTCATCACTGAGAAAAGTGGACTTGCCTGCCTGCGAACTCTTTGTCACAAACGTAGGCCTGATGAGAAGTTGGTGGACTTCTCCCCCGCAGCTTTCAGGTCGCTGTGGAAAGAGGTGGTAGTCCACCTCGGCCTGGAAAGCTTCAACTACCTTCCATACAGCTTAAGGCGGGGAGGTGCAACGTCGGCCTATGTTCAGGGCATGAAGTTTGACCAGCTTTTGGCCAAAGGCCGCTGGCAACATGTTGCTACAGCCCGAATCTACCTGGATCAAGCCTGCCCTCGTTTTTCCACCAGCAGTTGCCCATAAGGTTCGCTGCCGAGCTGGGACGCGTGGAGGAGGGGGCAAGGAGGTCTTGATCGGGTAGATGGCATAGGTTTTTGCTTTTCATCAGCAGGCCCTTGACCCCGGCTAAAGGCGCGGAAAGGGTCAAGAGGTGGACCAAGCCAAGTAAGGCATGTGTTCTCCCAAGGGGATGGCATGCCTGATTTGCGGGTTCCACCGGAGCTTTTCAAAGTCCCTCCACCACCCCGTTCTCCTCCTAATCGGGTAGAGGGCATGGGTCTTTGCCTTTCATCAGCAGGCACTTGACCCCGGCTAAAAGCGCGGAAAGGGTCAAAAGGTGGACAAAGCAAAGTAAGGCATATATATATATATATTATATATATATATATATGTGTGTGTGTCGTTTCTTATGGCTAAACCCCATGCCGGAATGCTGGAAGTAGACGGCACACCCGGGCTCCACAAACATGGAAGGGAAGACCCAACAAGGACCCCTTTCCTCCGCCATTAAAGGCGACTACCGACAAATTGGGCAGCATTAGCTGAACTTGGTGAATGGGCCAATGTGAGCCCTTTGCGGTGTAAAGTCAGATAGATGCTCACGTTTCCTGTCTCCAGGACGAAGAGCTTGGATGGTCGTTGAGCTATTTTGTGATTTGCATCCTTATGCCCACGTTCAATGGCTTCATGAATGGCTATTCTTGGTCGGGATATGCCCTGCACTACACCAGCATGGGATGGCCCTTATCAAGGCGGCTTGATTGCAAAGCACTGGACTTTTGGGTTGTGGACACAGGAAGAAGAACAGACCCATTGGCCCATGAAGGCCTTGCACTGCCTTACACCAGTACATGAGCAGATAAACCTGCTGAAACCGTCGTCATCGATGAGGTCCCTTATAGGGAGACCTTGGCCACAGGCGAGGGAGAAGGAGCATCCACAATCCTGTTGAATTCGTTCGCTAATCCCGGGACTGAAACACTTCGGAAGCAAGTCCAGGGCCTTTCATTTGCACGGTTGGCCTCACAATCCCCCAGTGCGATAGGCATTTTGTCAAGAATTTTATTACGCTGTAACTCGCAGGCAGTTTCGGGACATGGGAACCGCCGCACTGGGCCCCAAAGCACACTGCAGGTCAGGATTATCTTGTTTCATCTCCTTCCTCATCCGACCCTTCTTCCAGCAGATCCAGATCCGGTGTGGTTTGTGGGCGCCGTGGCCAAAGGAGTTCGGGAAATCTCCAGGAACCACCGTCCAGGTGCGGGACCTCGCTTTTTCACAGAAGTACACGGTGCGCCCAGTGGATCCAGGAAAACCCCACCGCGGTTTCGACGACCGAACGAGGGCCGCCTTGGTTCCTTTCTGGCTGCCTGGGATCCACTAGGAAGTGGGATTGTGTCAACCGGACATGGGTGTGTTCTTGGAAGAGGATGTATGAACCAGGAGGCCCTTCTTGTGTTTGGCGAGTGTAGCTCCCCCAAAATATAGGCACTCCTTGGCAAAGACAGGGTGGGCTACACTCCCTGGAAAAGTGGTAGTGGAAAATGCCCCCTGGGATGAGAATGTTCCTCTACAGGTGGTTCTCCACTTGTATTGCATGACCATTTTTTGGGGGGAGTATGTATTCCCATTCATTTTGCTCAGGCCAGAGGCACTACAAAGTCCATCGGCTTTAGCACCCCCTGGTCGAGCAACACAGCACTTCCCCCCCAGTAGCGTCCTTGCTCCTAGTAGTACGGCCAGGAGCCCTAGTAATTATATATATATATAGATGTAGTTAGCGTCCTTGCTCCTGGTAGCGCAACAGTTCAGAGAAAGTGTTGAGGCTCACTCACCCGAAGCCTTCCGAAAACCGTTTGAAGTCCGAGAATTGCGAGCCAACAATGGATGAATGATGAGGTGGGAATCGGTAACATGAAATTGGGCCGACATCGACCTTCAACCCGTGAAACCGTCCGTGAAACCCAACAGAAGTCCTTTGGTGTTTGCCGTTGAGATCCGTTGAGGTGATTGTCCCGTTGAGCTTGTGTCATTTGGCCTTGGCAATCCTGGGGCTGATCTACACAGACAAGGAGTGACCTGGAGCCCCCCCAAAGACCAACAAGATCAGCAAGACCGGACATGTCTTAGCAGTGCTTGTGATCATTTATATAGGATGAAGATGATGTACAACATTGGCAATTGTACAGCAAGGGAAGCACCTGCCACAGTGGACAAACATTATTATGAGAGAGAGGGTTGTTTGGGGTCTGAGGCAGGGTTGCCAAGTAGAGATGGAACCTATCTCCGGGATGTGATCAAAGAAGTTTCACTCGAGGCACAAATATCTTTCATAACACATGTTTTGACATGCCCTACAATCAAGTCCGTGACTTGAAACGCTTTGATTAGTATTTGAAGATTGTAAACATGCCGAGTTTGGCTTCGCTGGGACTGCAAGCTGGGTATGATGAACGTTTTCCTTGTACCATGTTGTGCCCTATTCCATGGGGTGGCAGTCTCCCAATCTTACCAGCTCACCAGGTTGACCAAGCTCCTTGTAACATCTCACGTAACCTATAGGGCATCCAACCCAGTCCATGCCCTGTTTCAATCCGATCTGGCATGGCACCAAACCAGGGGGAACCACGAGCCTTGATACTACAAAAATGTTTAACGAAACAATTGGCCTTCAAATACCAATGCATTGAAATAAGATGAAATAAGAATGGTCGACCTGGTTTTTGCCTAAAATCTTTTGTACGTTTGGTAAACACATGTAAACACCATAGAAACGTATCGAAAAATTGTTTTGGGAATCCCAGGGCGCCTGTCTTTCCCAAATCTCAATGGTCTTTTGCTGCCGAAGAGACGGGCCTCGGCAGGCCCCTTTCCCACCAACGCTCGGCTCCGGAGACTCCCCTGCTGCAGTTGTTTAGCTTTGGCGCCCCGACCTCAAAGTATCCAGATGCCAGGAGTGGGCCGTCAGCCTGGAGATGGGCAGTTGGATCGCCTTCGAGGCGGCCATCACCATCGAGGGCTTGGCCTTCGACGTTTTCGGGAAATCCGAACTCCTGGCGCGGCAGGCCTCATCCACCCTGTGGCAAGCCGGCAGTTTGGGATACTTGCAGTTTGGGACCAGGGAATCTATTTCTGCAGGAGGGTTTCGATTTGAAGCCGTGCCCACGTGGAGTCCATGTACCAACCATGGTCTTGGACAGTTAGAAGAGATATCCTGAGAGGATGGCCTAGTGACCTAGTGGCTGGATCGATTGATTCCATGTCTCGATCTTTCGTCATTTGCACGTTGCACTTGCAGCGACACGGGCGCACACACTCACACAGACATGGCAGACTTTACATATATATATATGGATAGATAACTTTAGGTGGCACATATATACTATATTTAATTGATCATTCGTTGCTGCGTGCTTGGCGCACTATATAGCACCATACTGTGTTGGATAGCGGTTTCAGAACGAAAAGCCTAAGAAGAGAACTGCTGAATCTTGCTGGCTCTTGAGTAGCAATCATTCAACGAGGGCCCAGGGCGTTGGACACCGACAGAGAGCCTTTGTCGGGCGCCCAGGTTAGCCGTCTTCACCTTTGCATGTGCCTTAGGGGTGACGATCGGTGGGATCATCTATGACTTTGCCGGTTGGCAGGGCATGTCTGTCTTCCATGTGGTATGCCAAGCCTCCATGGTCTTCCTCTTCACCACCCAACCTTCTACTCGCGAATCATTCCGAGAGTTCTTCAGTCCTGAGTCCCCGGACGACAACGACGAACTCTTTCAGACCGTCGTGCCGGCTCCCGCGAAACCGGCCCTGGTCGCAGCGTCGCGAAGCAACGACGGCGACCTGGTCGTGGAGGAGTTCGCGGCGGACCTCCCTGGCATTGCAGAAGACGCCGAGGACGCTCGCCCTGGCAGCGGCCACTCCGCCCGCTCCGCGCAGGACGAAGGCGAAGAGGGCGACCTGGAGCCACGTGAGGGCGACCCAGGCCAACGGCGCCCCCGGAAGAGCCTGCAGAGTCGAAAAAGCCGGAGAAGCGTGAGAAGCTCCAAAAATCGAGACAGTTGGCATTCCGGGCCTCTTGGACCAAAGCTATACAGTGTTATGCAGTATTATGCAGTTGTGCGTGACAGGACCTACTATACGGGTTCACCAAGACGCGACCCTAGCCTGCCTATGGCAGCTACTAGTAGTTTCTGGTAGTAGCGATGCCCTTTTGTTACTAATACCTTGTGACTTACAACATGACACTCAAAGCATACACCTACCGCGCCCATCTTTCGACTGGGGAAGATGTCCATCGGGCGATCGGATGCCCAACGACAGACACCTTCTTCCACACGCAGGTCACGGTCTGCAGTGGTTTCGCATTGTTTGCCCTTGCCGCATCAACAGAGGTTGAAGAACCATGAAGGACCCTATAGACTATCCCATAGGTACCCTGGTAGGGTCCTAGTTCAGGTCACTCAACCTCTGTTGGCAGACCGGTGCCCTTCTTTTCCACGTCACGCACGCCTGAGGCGTGTGCGTGCCTCAGTGGCCTCGGAGGCCTCGCGCCTCACGCGGCGGACGCTGGTGACGGAGAAGAGCTTTCGGACTTCCAACACCAAAGGCTCCAAAGTCACGCAAGGCCGGCAATGAAAAGGACCCACAGACACTCCATGTAGTTTTTGCTAATGGGCTTAAAACCGCGCGTGTAGTGAAACTGATTTTTCACACAGTCCTTGGGGGGGGCAAGAACACACACACAAACACACGCATTGGAATATGGAAGATGGGGACACGGGAGTGTTTGGGGGGAGGGGGGTTTGGGTGGGGGGCTAGTGATGTTCATGTTGTGTGCATATGTGTGCATTTTTATTAGGAAGCCACACACGCACACGCTGTGGAAGAGGGTGGGGGTGAGGGGTAGGTTCCCCAAAGTGGCAGTGAAGCACACTGGACCTGATCGAAAAACCAAGTAAGACCCTCTCTCACGTTCAAGTGTGCAAGCGACGACGAGCACACTTTTCTATGGCACGGCGTGCAGGTATTGGGCTTGAGCCAAATGAGTTAAGCGGCAGCTGACTGAAGAGAATGTATGTACAAGTAACTACGGACAAAAGGTGCTACACACGTATAGCGTAGACACGCCTAGGGGAACCTAGGATCCTACAAAACACAGGGGGGGGTTGGGTAGGGGGCTAAAGACGTTGCATGTTCAGTGCATCATAGCGCATACGAAGATAAGCCAGACACACACACAGACAGGTCGGCACGCACAGGTGGTCGGGGTGTGTCAGTTCTTTTTTTAGACGTCGACGCATGGAAACTTGGCTTGGTTACTGACTGCTTGATTGCTTATTCCGAAGTTTTCCGTTCGGGGGATTGTCGGATGCTTGAGGTCAGGAGAGCTGCTCATCCACACCGGTCCCATTGATGGTATGTGGCGTTTGTGTAAGGAGTCGGTCCCCACTACTGTTGATGGACAAAATCCTGCACCACTTTGCGCACACTTTTCTTGCTGCCCTCGTTCTCCCTCGTTAACATTGGGGCCACCACAGTGAGAAAACAAAAAGAAGTTAAAGGTCCAAAATCCTGCACCACCTCCTCAGAGGGGTCGCGCCAAGGGGCCACCACAGTGGGAAAACAAAAAAGAAGTTAAAGGTCCAAAATCCTGCACCACCTCCTCAGAGGGGTCGCGCCAACATTGAATGAGGGGGCGCGGGGGTTGCTATGCGACCCTTCCAGGGTAAAGTGGTGAGGTGGTGCAGGATTTTGTCCATCAACAGTAGCTTGCGTTCACGTGAAGGTGACGGTAAAAACCCAAACATCATGAAGTTCACTCGACAGTGGCAATGACGCTGGCACCAGAATAAAGACGATCTTCTGACGAAGCTGGGTCAGAAGTTGTCCCACAGACTGTGATGATGATGCTGGAGGATGAAAAAGCGCACCTTTTTTCGGCACAAAACCACAGTCTCGTAGCATTTTGATGTCAAAATCGCAACGATTTTTGAGTCGTTTTCATGTACTACATGCTGCAACAAACCTTTCACATCAATGCAAAACACAGTCACACACCGGACATTCGTCATCATTGCCCACGCGAAGACTTGACAAATGTCTTCAACCGCACGCGCGGAAACGCGCCCGGCAGGTAGTTTTTGTATCATAGTGTACATTATATATATATGTTAATCATATTTATGTATACAATATACATATGAATATCTTATATGTTGTACCATCTTAATCATATACCTGCATTGGTGTGGTTTGACGCGTCTAATGTATCTGTAGGGCATCAAGAGCCTGTAAATGCATCGTTTCTGGCACACATAGTGTTTGGCTGAACACATCTGAACACATTGTATTATTCTGCATTTCTTCGAGCACTGTGCTTTCCGAAAACACGGCATTTCTGCAAATATGCGAGCCCGTGTAAATTCTGAAAAGTGATGTGCAAGTGAAGTCTCGGAAAGTATCTTCCTATAACATATATATATATAGCGGAAACTCTCCCTCCCCTGAGGGCGCGCAGCGGGCTTTTCCTTGTGCCGTGAAAGTCCCTCGGGTGACGACGAATCGGATGCCATGTGCAGCAAATCAAGACTCCTAACAATCTCTAAAATTCATGAAGGTACGGTCAGCCATCCAGCTTATAATCTTCCTTTGGGGCTCATGAACTTGCTTTGCTCGAACCACAGCCATCTCGTCAGCACTAGCCTTTAGGCTTTGAACTTGCGAGTCACCGCGGATCCTGGGAACATCGGTCCAGCTTCGGATCCTTGCTCATGATACATCGCCAGGTAGCTTGTCAAATCCTGCATCAACGGCGATAGATCGGAGCGGCTGCCTTGGGCAGTGAGCCACTGCACGTACTTCACCTTGGCGGTGTCGGGAGACTGAACGAGCTCAGCGTAGCTCACATCCTGCTTGCCATATTTGCCAGTCTCGATGATCGTCTTGCCCCACTGCTCCAAGCTCTCGATACCCTCGGGTAGGGTCTTCATCAAGGAGCCACCTTTGGATCGATATGATCCCTTCACACCTGAGGCCTGAGTCGGTAGTGGCATTTGGCGAGTGGGAGCTGGTTCATCATGGTCCACCAAACGCCTCTTGGCGGCATCGGACATTGCACCGCCACTGGAGCCACCTTTCTCATCGATCATCTCGAATTCACAGAACTCACTTTCCAGCTCTGCCAAGAGGGGTCCCACTGATCCCTCAGCACGCACCAGCTGTAGCAGCTCGCTGGCTGCCTTAGACAAGCGCTGAGTGGTACCGGCCATGGAATGGTCGGGAGGAAACTGTCGATCGAACCACCTGTCAGTCGTCAGGGCACGGTTGCCTCAGCAAAAAGGCTGCAGATACAGCTTTCAATTCAAGAAACGGCTGGCTTCACAAAAACATGCATTGCATACATCGAAACACATTGCGGACAATGTATCATTCGTGTATTCCCTAAAACTCACTTGAACATACCCCTTCAAGTGTTACGCATCCCCGGGACTTTCGTGGTCTTGCCGGCGGGCTTGTTGCATTCGACGTCGGAGGTCTTTCTCCGCTGCTTGCATTTGCAACACGGTCTCTTCGGGGGAGATTTGATAGGTTGACCTTTTCATGCATGCTCTTAACAAATCAATCGGATCTCCGGTGTTCTTGGTCAGTCCATCGGCTAGCATTCTATTGGTTGGGACCCACCTCACATGTGCCTGCATGTGACGACAGCTTTCACGGATGATGACAACATCAATGCTTGTTCGGCGGTCTTCAATGGATGTTGGTGATGAAGGTGAATGCAAATGGTCGTACAAGCTCTTACAATCGGTAACCACTATTGGCGGACGCCTTTTGAGCACATTTCGACAGGATCGGATGTCGAGAGGGCCATCGCATATCTCGGCCAAAAGCAACAGTACCCATTCGACGGTACCAGTAGCGACCGACATGGCCTGGCTCTCGGCTGCCAGAGTGCTACTCACCGCTCGTGACAAGCGGAAGCTCTTCCATGCAATGGGAGACCAGGGTGCCTCCTGTCCAGACTGGAGACTCTGGTCAGTGAAGCCGAGCACATAACCGGCCTGGGTATGGTTGCCTCGATTGGCAAATGCTGCATCACTATGGCATACTACAGTTACCTGATCGATCGGTATTGGTGTGAATGTCACGCCCAAGCTCTTATGTTGTCGCGCTCGACGAATGGCTTGATTTGCCATTCTGAAGTCTTCAATCTTCGGGCTCGGGAACGCTTGCTGAGAGAGGCTTGTTTGCACACTCAGGTCAGGTCTCGTTTGAGATGACAACCAGTTCAAGCTTCCGTTTACCGCCCTGAGGATCTTGATTTGGCTTGGGGTCAACACGTCCTGTGGTGAACTATTCTTCGGGATATTGATTGGGCGAATCTTTTCGGCAAACGAACTCATGTGCATGTGGATGGAGTGATCATCTCTTTGTTCATACCATGCTCCACAAAACTCACCTGTTTTGGTTCGCCATTTGCGATAAGGAAACCTCTTTCTCAGTGCTTTGATGGATCGTTCAAACAACTCACCGGACCCCCCCACTGCAGTGTCATCAACATGAACTCCCATTACTCCGCACAGGGAATTATCTTTGGGGTCACGAAGAGTAAACATGCATGGATCCAAGACACTCTGATGCCAACCCAGTGAACATACATGTGTGCTGAACTCTCGAAACCAAGCGGCAGGAGCATCATTTTGACCATACAGGTTACCCAAAATCTCAATCACTGCGTTCTCTGGAATGCCCGGGATTCCGCCAGCAGGTTGGCGGGCATAGAGTGGCCTGAACTCATCACTAAGGGGGCCGGCTTCGAGAAAGGCTCCCTTGATGTCTCCGAGTTGGAGAAGCCAGCCTTTTGAGGCAATCACTTGCATCAGGGTCATACGACCGAGCTGGCTCAGTGTTGGAGACTTGAGCATACCACGTTCGGCTTTGGTTTCTAGATCGGGATCTAAATGGCCTTGCAAACACCACCGTCCTTTGACAGTGAATGTGTTGTAGTCTTCGGGATCAACAGCCATTCCTTCCTCTAGGGGTTTACGAGTCAGAACATATCGACTTCCAATAAACCTGTCAGCAAATTGTTGTTTGATATACTCAGCTTTCTTACCATAATGCACTTTCACGGAGTTGGGTTTGGCAGCAATGGTTTCCCATTCAGTCCGTTTCCCTTCTTGCACCTTTTGTTGTAAAGCTGGGGGGTTGTTGCTATGGTGCAGTTCTTTTGACATCTTTTTCTTCATATATTCAGCCATCAAACAATCCCATGATCCCTGTTCTGCAAGTGGTGTCAGTTCCTGACAGTCCTGAACACACAACACTTCATCAACTCTTTGACGAGATGCTGCGGGTTCGTCCTGCGATCCGGCATCGGGAGACAACGATCGTTTGCTAGAGGCTGACGATGAGTTCATACAGACATCTTCAAGCAGCTGTGGCACCACTTCTTTCATAATTTCCACAAAATCATCCTGTCTCATGGCCGGGGGACGCCACAGTGACATGGGTCCATCTTTACCCGAGACTCGCCTGCGAACTGGGCCATAGGTCTGAGATTGACTACTGTCCTGTGGAGGCATTGGACTCTTATCAACAGTTGTTTCGACGTCTTCTTCGATTGGCTCCTCAGGCCTCGACCTCTCGGCTGGTGGTTCCAAGACGTTTGACTCTATGGTCTCTCTTCTCTCACTATCGAGATCTCTCGGACGTGGCTCAGTGCGAGGGTCTGCTTGCTCAGGCTGAGACTGTTCACTTGGCGGTGCCGGGTTCACGGCGTCCGTCTCTGGAGGCGGCACATCACCCTCTTGTGGAGGGTAGGCTTGAGGGAGCAGATCCAGATATTGTCGACTTCGAAGATTGCCGCTTTCAATGAGATCTTTAATGCCTAACAACTCAGCTTCGGGAGTGGCAACAAGGCACTTTTCTTCATTGGTTGCTGGTCGAACCTGTTCGGGAGCACAACGGATCACCTGCCTACGATGAATCAACACGAGATTTCTACCTACGGTGCCGAGTACCACTGCTACACCATACCATTGCCCTCCAGTTTGGAGTTGGCCTTGAACCCATTTCTGATTCCGCCAGTAGGCAACGAGGTCACCTGCTTTGAAGGACATCGGTCGGCGAGGTCTGGCCAGCAGGGCGACTCGTAAAGCACGGTCATCTTGCATTTCGATCAGAGTTCGACGTGCCGTTGTTCTCATGGCCTGTGTCTTGGCAATTGCTTCTTCTGTGATCGATGCAGTAGCGGGAACGATGGACAAGGGTTCGTTCAACAAGTCCTGAGGAATGTGTGGGTTGCGGCCAAACACAAATTGACACGGTGATAGCCCATGAACTTGTAGCATCTGGTTCTTGATATGAGCATGCGTCACACATTCTAGCCAACCCTTTTGATCCTGAGGACTATAGTCATCTATCAATTTTTCCAACACACGGTTGAACCATCCACCATGGGATTCACATTTACCTAACTGCCAATGAGCACCAGCGGCGATCGGACGAACGTGCGTTCCCTCTAGTTCGGCGGGAACGGTCATCGGGGCTCCCACGTTCGTGCGAGCTGGATCAAGGATGATCTCTCTCGGGACTCCTGCCCAGGTAATCCAGTGTTCATTCAACAGTTCACGAAGAAGATGAGCGGTTTCAACTTGAAAGAATGGAATCATTCGTTGAAATCCACTGGCAGTGTCCACGATGTTCAGAGCTTTGACCTTCTGATTGGGTTTCCACCCTCTCAAGTGCTTGACATCAATCGCGATCTGTTGATTGAACTCGGCCACACGATTTGGCTGAGCGGGCAAAGGAATCTTCGGACGTGCCTGACTCTTGCAGAAATCACAAGAAAACTCCTTAGCTAGACGAAGTGCTTGATCAGATGCCTGACCATGTTTCAAGATTCGAACCAAATCACAATTTGGGGGATGTCCCAGATTTCGATGTAACTTGGCAAGTACTGGAAGCAGTTCGGCATCAGTCTTCGCTGACTCATGACCAGCAGCGTACACTTCATCCCACAAGTGGGCAGGCACTTCATCCTCGATGACTTCGAGCATCACGCACTCTTCTTGGGTGTCTGGTGTCACTATCAGGACCTCTGACTGGGCTTGGAACTTTGGAACCGTGTTCAGCACAGCATGAACAAATTGACGTGGGTATTGTCCAGCATACTTACTTATGCTCATGCCACCTGGTGCATGTCCGGCAACAACATCATGACACTGGTGTTTTCCTTCATGAGTGCACATCAAGCCAAGACTTTTCATGTCCTCGTGAGACACCAACAGACGAGTGCTCTTGCGAATGAATTGCTCACTTGCTGGGAGCTTGAGTCCGAACCTGCACATGTGGAGTTTGACTGTGGTATATTTTCGACACAATGATTGCACTTCAGCATATGACCAAAGGCGGGAACCAGTGGGATGTTCAAACACTGCACGGCCACCTAGCTCCATTTGCATACGGAACAGCTTACAACACCACGTGATATACCGACGGCTCTGTGCCCTCCTACGCAACACTTCCCATGGATCCCATTTATGGCTATTTAAGTGGAACCAGCCGCCTTCATCGGTGCAAGGCGGGCAGAGGATCAAGAGCTCGGGCTTCTCGGTCACCAGCTCGTGTTCCACCAATTTCCTGTCGGACGCACGACGAAAGTCGAAGCCGTTGACCAAATCATATGATTTGGCTCTGAATCCGGCTTTCTCGGCTTCTACTGCAAATCTGGGAGGAGAAAACACTTCCATGACTAGACATGACGAAGATGCTCTGCGTTCCTGGATGGCTAAGCACGTTTGAGCTTGCTTGTGCAACTGTCGGCACTGATGAGGACTGGGACACCATGCATTTGGGCTCTCAAGAGGTGATCCCACATGGAAAAATTCAGTTTTCACATGCGCGGCTCTTCCCAACAAAGTCACAATGGTCTTTTTCTGGGGGGTCCCTGGATCAAACGTGGAATCATCTAACACCCGGTGAGTTTGCATGTCGGTCACACGACGACGAAACACATGTTTCCAGGACGGTCCCTCCCGAGACAACCACGGGGTGGAAACCACATCACAGTTCTCCTGAGTCCACACAGCAGTCTCCGGAGGCTGCTCTGCAGGTGCATCGGCGGATGCATGCGGATCGGTTTGAGCCATGGCCTCACAAGACTCACTGTTCCCATCAAGCTCTTCTTCGCCTTTGGGTAGATGCATTTCAGTGGAGGCCATCACTTCGGTGAAAGCGGCTGCGGATGAATCTTTCTCATCGCCAAGGAGCTGCACAACGTACTGCCCTGCACTGTTTGTTTGCAGCTTCACGGAACGATCAAACACCTGGAGACAATCATTCTTGAAATCCAGAGTGGCTCCAAGAGCCTTCATAGCAGATCGGCTCAACAGGAGAGGCGCATCACCCCGGATGATGGCAGCACGAATCACACCTTGTCGGTGTGCAAGCACCACAGGCAACTGTATGGAAAGGGTGGAAGTCTCCACCTCTCCATTCCCGAACTTGAACTGGTGCACTTCATGGAACGGCTGTGGAGGGACCCATCCCCTCTGAATCCAAAGGCGCTTGAATGCCTTCAGGGTCTCCGCACCAATGATGGTGCGCCCACATCCTGAATCCAGCACGCCGAAACCCGGCGAGGACACCAACAACAATTCCTCGGTCTGTCCGAGGGATGGAGTCAATGTTGCTTGCAGACGGCGAGCTCGCAACTTGTCCAAAACGGAGGGGGTGTCGAGGATGGAGGCGACAAAATCCAACTCATGTACGGCTGCCGCACCAGAAGGGGCTGAGGTCGAACTGGTTCCTCGACCCTTGGAAGCACCCTTGTTGTCTTTGGAGCGACATTCTCGAGCCCAGTGGCCTCTTCGGCCGCATTTGTTGCAGGTTGAGTTGCGCTTCATCTCCTCAATCTCCACTCTGAATGAGCGACGCACGTCCTTGGCTTTCTGAAATTGACGAGTCTTTTGCAATCGATTCAGTTCCTGACGTTTCTCCTTCCATGTGGCCGCCAGCACCTCAGCGACTTCCGACTCTGGAAAGGGCTCTTCCTCTCCGGCATAGTCTGTTGTAGGCTGGTGCTCCTCAATGAGTTGTTCAACGTCAGAAAAACTGTCATCAACACGCTCGCCAAACTCTTCCTGGGTCTCTTCAAAGGGCTCTGCAAGGGCTACCCCAACACGCTTGCGTGTCACGACCAACTCGGGGTAACACGACCGGAGCGCAGCAGAGATCGACTCTCTCTTCAAGTCGCCGCGGGCCCGGGCGATCACAACAGCTTTCATCTCATCAGAGAGGCCAGATCTATGGAGCAGCAACCATCCCCGAGCCTCTTCGGGGAATGATACTCCAGTCTTTCGTTGACAACGGTCGAAAATTTCTGAGGCGCGTGCCGACCATTGTTTCATGTTTTCGCCCTCATTGGATCTCAGGCTGAACACCTCTGTGAGGATCTCGCCAAGCTCATCGACAGTTTCCTGCTGAGGAAAGCGCTTGTCCAGGATGCCCCAAAGGACATCGTCACCACCCTTCTTCTGGTAGGTCTCAGGGTCGACATGCTCGACTGCTTCCAGCGCTTTGCCACTCAACAACGTGTAGATGTAAGCTCCTCGAGAGCCTTCAGCCAACTTATCCAATGTCAATAACTTGTTCTTGACCCATTGCTTCCACCTTTTGTATTCGCGACCGTCCTCGGTCTCACCAGAGAAAAATCGTAGCCCACCTTCGGTGGTGGACGACGAAGATGCCATGTGCACGGACCTTCACCTAAAGGTCTCAACGAACCATGCTCGGAGCCTGACACTTTGGCCAGGCTCCGCTACCAATAGCGGAAACTCTCCCTCCCCTGAGGGCGCGCAGCGGGCTTTTCCTTGTGCCGTGAAAGTCCCTCGGGTGACGACGAATCGGATGCCATGTGCAGCAAATCAAGATATATATAAATATGTACTTAAATCGGTCCAGATGTGCCATGGCCACCTCACCCATGCTTTCCACCGGCCGCGAGAAAAAATAGAGGTCATGGTGTTCAGCCCGTGCGTCACGGGGATTTCGCGAAACCATCGGTGAGGCACCTTCCTTTCACGTGTCACTGCCTTGACCAACCTAAAAGACTCGGAGAACTTCCAGCATGGTTTCATGGCCAACAACGCTCTTCGACCCACGGTGCAAACACGAGCCGGAACGCACGGAGGCTCGGAAAGAAAAAAATTCTTGTGATGCCCCTTTTGGTGTGCTTTTGGTGATTTACATGTTCGGGTTTTGGTGTTCAAAAGATTCTAAGTTTGAGTTATTTGGGGATGAGGCACTTTTCCACCCAAATGGGTGAACCAGTGAGGAGATCAGGATGAGCGAGATGAAGAGAAAACCGAGCAAAAAAGAACGTCCAGAAGCTCGAACAAGGGCACGAAGGGAATACCGAAGGATTTGCGGATTCCCGCCTTTCTGATCGTGCTGTGCCTCTCATCTTGTGGTAACACTTATGAAGCTGGCTGGTTTTCGTTGCGTCGTCGCTGCTTTCAGGATCATCCATAGCCCTCCCAAGATAAGGTGAACCACCTTCGAAGATAGAGCTAAAGGAAGTCAATTTGTGTTTTTCCAGGTGTTTTTTCCATGACGATGATAGGGGGGCCAGGGTTGCACCCCCAAACCCACTCGCCCAATTAAGGTGCTGTTTTAACAACAACTTCAGCTACGTGTTCGAGTTTAGCACTTTTGCAGTCTATTTCAAAGTATACCATGGCTGGAACGCTGCCATGTGGGCCAGTTTTGCCCAGACTGCTGGAGACTTAACAGCGGCCATCATGATGAAAGTGCTGGGTGCTGCTACGGATGATGATGAAGAAGCGGGAATCCTGCGTCGTTTGACCAAGCAACCCTACAGCTTGTCTTGCCTCCTCTTTATATGGATCCTTTGCAACTTGGGCATGACCAGCCCTTGGTTGCCATTGGCAGTGACGGCGCAGGTGATCATGGGGACCGTGTACGTCTACACCTCCAAGCTCACTACTGACTTGAATCTCTTCTATTCCCTCGGTGATCAGCCGCTCTTCCTTTCCCTTCAGGTCCCTCAGATTGTTGACCCTCACTCCCGGCTGGGTTCATGCCTGAATGACAAGGAAAAGAAGCGTGTGCATAGGATTTGATCATATTTGATGTTTTCTGCAGGTTGCAAGTGAGTCAACTGGATAAAGTGTCGTCACCCTTCGAATTGTGTTTCCTTCTAAGGCTTGACATGGACCAGCCATCAGAACATTTCAAGCCCATGACACCTGTTCCAGGTGTGTTTTTGTGTCCTCTACTTGTGTAGAGCCTTCTGGCTGACTTTCACATTATAAATGATAAATACATAAGCCTACCGGGTCAACATGTTTGCCTTTTCATCTATAAAACCAACCAAGTTTGCCAGACATCTTGCACTAGGTGCCACCAAGGAAGGCGGGCCTCTTGTTACCATCACTGCCATTCTTTCAAGTCCGACGTGCGAAGACCACAACGCCCCACGACGTGTCAACGTAGAACCCACCAGACACGACCAGTCCGAGACTTGAAGAGATGCTGCCCGATGGACCACGTTTCGACTAACCAGTCTGGTTCATCACTGCATGCCAACGTCCCATGGATGGTCAGCCGCACGTCCCGTCCGCGTCCACCGCCACCGGTCCCCACCACGAGGACAACACGGTCGACCGAGCCGCACAGGTCTGGTGTAAAAACGTGGAGGCGCTGGGGGGCTGCGCGGCCAGCTTTTTGGGGCCCCTGCTCTTCGAAGCGGTCTCGCCCTTCTTTCCCTTCTTCGTATCTGCCACTTTCTCTACGGACGCGCAGATGTGAAGTTTAAGCTTTTGTGTGCGTTTGGACTTGTTCTATTTGTTTTCGTTCTGTCAGCGCTTTCTTCGAATGTGGTTATAGTTGGCCAAGCGAAAGTGTGGAAGCAATGACTACTAGATTTTGTTGATAATCGTTTAAATGCAAGTTGTTGCTGGGACTGTGCTTTCTTTCAATGACTTTTCGGGGAGGTGGATGATGTTGGCCGTCATTACGATTTACAAACCTTGCGACGTTTCGCCAGATATGTATACTTATACCAGTAGCCGATTATAGCTAAATGAGTTTAAATGAAATGGTTGAATAGTGATGAACGAGGTTGGCACAGCGTTGTGGTGAGATCCTTTCCCTTCTAAGGCAACATCACCCAGACAACCCATAGGTTGTTTCCACTGTGCATATGACATTGCCCCATCTAGATTCACCCCTTTTGAACCAAGCCAGCTCGCGATGACCAACCCAACTTCCTCGTGAACCGGAGATTTTCCCGCTTCACGGTTCTGTAGAAACCCTGAGTGACCTCCCGTTTTGATGGTGGACACCATCAAAACGGGAGGTCAAACCGGGGACCCAGTTTGGGTGGTTTATAGACCCCCTGATGAGGCGTTTTCCATCCAATATCCACCCTTTGGGAGGTGTATAGATGATTTTGGCAGGACACTTTTTATATCTATCCTGCCTTTCGGATCGACTCTGACTCAGGTGACCTTCATCCTCTTCACCTCGGGTTTCTGCCAGCGATTGGGCTTCCCACCGGATGTGGAGACGGCTGAGGCACAACGCAGTCGGCGCTTGGGCTTGCGACGCGTGAGCCACTGGAGCGTGGTCAGTCGGAAGAGCCATCACAACCTGGAGCAAGTGGAAGCTCGGTGTGGAGGAATGCGGTTATGGGATCAGGTCCGAAGAGCTCCCGTGAGGGTTCCTGTTACACGACAGGCTGAACGTGGGTGGTTCCTGTTGGATTGGAGCCAGAATGTCAGTCCATCCGAACATGAATACATAGATACATAGATGAAAAGATATGGTTTAATTTGGTTTAAATGAAATGTATATATAAAATCAGGCGAGTTGCCCAGAAGGAAAGACATATTTGAGTATTTGGAGATCCCCATTCCATCGATAGAAGTGATGTTTTATTGTTCTTTTTCGCTCCACTGTGCATCCCAGTGCAGCGATGCTCGAGGAGTGACGCTCGTCGGTTCTCACGACCGGACAGTTCGGTCTCGTCCGTGGCGACGGCGGAGACGCGCCAATCAGTGAGAGAAACCAAGAGAGCAGATCTGTGCGCAGCATGCGGCGGGGGTGCCAGATGCCAGAGGTTCTGTTGGTGTTGGTTTTGTTGGGTTTGGCTCTTCAGGGCCTTGGGGCAAGAACAGCTTTGAACGATCAGAAACACCATGGGAGACTCCTGGGCGGCCCCGGGGTCTTTCTGAATTCAATCAATCATCATTATTCATTATGTAATGATTGACACAAACCTGGAGAATGATACTTTGACCAACTTCAATGTGGCCCCATGTCTTTGTCTTGTTGAGGTAGAAGTGTGGATTGTTGGATATGTTGGGGAGTTTGTTCAAATTTCCTCGCATGAATCACATCAGGATTTGGGACCCAACCGTAACCTATTGCATTTCACTGAGAAATCATTTTTGGGGATTGGTGATAGGTGCATCCCCCCCCAGGCGAACGCGTTGGCGCACGCGTGGGCAGACGCGTTTTTCCGCTTTCTTCCGGGCCTCGCGGCCGGAAAGCTTGGAAACCATTCAACACCAGTGGTGCAGTGGCGACCGCAAAAGCGAGCAAACACTTTTTGGATAAGGTAGGTGCCGATTTCTGCACCTATGCAATTTGATAGAGTATACAGTATGAGAGAGGTATGAGAGAGGTATGAATGGATGTTGTTTGAACAGCTTGTGCACCACGTTGGTACGGATGAGATGTTTTGCTCAACATCGGCCCGGCACTAGGGCCCTGCAGCAAGTCCTGCTTGCAGCTACGTGCTTGGAGCCACTCCATTCACCAAAGGTGATTGGACACATGTGCCCACGACGTGGCAGTGTTGGCCAAATCTGGAATCTGTGGATCAATCCGGGTGAAACAAATCCTCGGCTTCGTGGTCATCGACTTGCTTGCCGAGTCCATGTTTGGGACCAAGGACATGACCCCAATTTGCAGCACCTTGCTGAAAGCACCACGGAGACTCCCCGGACATCCACCCGAACGTGGCCGGCGCGGGAACAAAGTGCTGGGAACCGCTCAGAGGGAGGGGCGCAAACATGAGCAAGTAAACGCACGTGGGTCCCCATCTTAGGAATGAAAGGGTTGGGAGGATTTAATGGGAGGGATTCTGGACTGGAGGTTTGCACAATCATCACAGGTGAGATGCCCACGTGCTTATTTGCAGAATCATCACTACCATGCCACCGCATACCGTCTAGAGGAAGAGCCGGGAAGAGCAGTGTTCTAGGACTTCCTCACTGTCACTACCCTCGTTCTCTCAGAAATTGAGGCTCCATCCCGAGCGCCAATCGGCGATGTGTGGGAAGGTGTTCCTGTATTGGCAGGGGCGGGTGTAGTGGGATCTGGTGGGTCCATGGAGTCCATCATAGCCGATCGTAGGATAGATTCCAACTTGAACGGTTGGGTTCATGAACTCTTTGGGATAGGAGGGGCTCCATGGGACACGGGATGGCTGCGTCAGCAAAACATGTCCGCCATAGCAGTCGACGAGCACCTGACATGGCAATCTGCACCCCTTACCTTAGCAATCCTTAGCAGCTCTGAGCTTTGACATGTCGATATGCTGTTCGAGAGCTGACGCCAAATCAGTAGACCCAGCCACTCAATGAATGGCTTCCTGCTTTCTTCACGTTCAGCCCTGAAAGGGACCGCATTCTCACCGTGCGGACCAATCACCGAATGCAACATCATCTCCCTTTTCAGCCTGGAGAATCTCTTCAACTCACAGTCATTGATGGTTTCTGGGCCAAAAAGCTTGTGATTGCTGGGCTATGTGTGCCTTTGCCGGGAGCGTTGATTTTTGGCTCGTAGTTGGATCCAACTGCTCCCTGCGATGAAGGCCCGCTTTGTCCTGCTCCTTTGTGGTGTGGCTGTGGCAGAGACGGGGGTGCAGATCTTCCCCAAATTAGAGACTCGGCTCCTGATGTGGCGCTCAACCGTCGGCTGTGAAGAAGTGGATTCATGTGCGATGTTGTTTCGGCAAGGGTGCTGAGCATCCATGAACTATGAACATCTATGAACCAAAAAAGGGAGATGCATAGCACCCCTTCATCCAAAAATGAAGGTTCAATCAGGTGCTAGCATCCATGAACTATGAGCATCCATGAATCTCCGGGTTTGATCTTCATTTTTGCTTCCTGATCACAGGAGAGGTTGGAACCACTACGACGCTTGCAAGCGAGCTCGGGAATACCCTCAGCGTGCATGAGCGCATGCCCTGATCTCAACCGAATTGTCGTGGAGTAGCTTGACCTTTGGGTGGTTGGGGTTGTGGTTTGCTGTCAGGGATCTATTGAGGACCCAAAAAAAGCACCCACGTTTGCGCGGTCGGTGAAGGTCGATGGTGGGGGTACAATCGTGACTTGGAGGGCCATGTTGCCTGGAAAGCGAGTGAAGTTGAGCACGGAGCATTTCGCTGCCAATCATCCAAATGTATCCAAATGTGCGGGTGTTCTATTCAAGGGATGTTTCCAGGATTTGTTGCCTTCACCCACTGTCAGAAACCATTTGTCGGATAGACTGACTTGGATGGAACGCCTGTCTTGGTTTTGGACCAACCGACCCCCACCGTGTCCCTTTGAAA